GAACATATGTATTTGTGTTAATGCCACTTCAAGAGCACTGACCCAGTAGGGTCAGTCTACGAAATCTTTTTTTTTCAAACGAACGTCGACATGCCAGGCTGTATCTTGGAATCAGCGCTATTTGAAACAGAACAAAACAAACCCTAATCCCTAATAACATGCTAATAATGTACGTTTCTTTTAGGTTTACACATATTTTTAGAAAAATACTGCAATTTTAAAATAAGTATAAATTTATATTTAGAAATAATTTTGTTTTGTAAGTTGCATTATCAACAAAATTGCACTAGATAATGTCACTGTGAAACTGCTACCAGAACAGTTCAATAGTCTCAGAGTATCTTCGTCGCCAGATTTTCGGTTTCAAGAAAGTTTCGATTTAAATTTWATGTAGTGGGGCTGATAAACCCAAACACCTCCACACTACATCGGAATAGACAAGGCGCACTTTTTCAACAACCCTAGACTATATTTTAAATCAAAAGKTATTTTTATGTTGGCAAGACCTCTTGAAAGTCAAAGATTATAAGTACATTTGCAACTTCAGGGYATGTCAAGAGGTCCTTCCCAGCTTTATATTAGTTATCATTCATCGAGTTACATTTATGTACCAAGTATTTAATTTACATTATTAATTAATTATACATTTATAACTTATCGATGAGTTACAATTTATGAAGTCATTACAAAAAATTCCTACTGGTAACGCTTACACACACGCTCCCGCTTGTGCACACCACCCAGCAAAACCAAATGCTACAAAGTACGTACCCGTAATCCACACACAACATATACAGTTTTGGAAAAGGCAAATATGCGTTAAGATATTTGCTTATTCAATACATATACACACACGCACATACTCGGCAATGTTGATAAACATATTGCGCACCGCACTTCAGCTGCAGACTTCCAGATTTCGGGCCAGCTTTTGCACACGGCACCACGTAACTCCTACAGACGAGCCGCGATTCGAGTGTTTTGATGTGTATAAAACCGAGAGGAGCAGCAACGAGTCGATCAGTGTAACARCATTTGSCGTTTACAAAGCTAATCTTGAGTGATAACCAAAACAGAGTGACTAGCTGACATTAGCTAAAGAATTCAGATTTTTTGAAGTGTAGGAAAAAGTATTAACAAATTAAAACAACAAAATGCCTTGCCCATGTGGAAGCGGTAAGTGAATGTTAAGGCTGAAAACGCTTTAATTATATTTTCAATTCAATTTTCAGTTTTATTTTTCATATTTTTTTGTTTGTTAATTCCTATTTAACGCGCTTTCTTCTTCGCTTAGGTTGCAAATGCGGTTCGGAGCCTAAGACTGGCAATTGCGGTTGTGGTTCGGCCTGCAAATGCTGTCCCTGTGGAAGTGGTAGGTGACCCATTTATATACATATTAAGGAAACGCCCATAAATCAATTAAATGTGGAAATATTATGTAATATAATTACTTTATTTTTCAGCTTGCAAATGCGGCTCACAATCACAAAGTGGCAGCTGCGGTTGCSGCTCAAGCTGCAAATGTGGCCAGTAGAGGAGTGCAAATATCCTATAACCGCACCTTATTATGTTAAAGCTAAATTACTTTTAATTCATTTTCACAATTTAATAGTGTAATTATACACAAACATACATATATGTATATGCATATGCAAGTATACATATCATTAGAAACAGTTGTTTATATGTACATACAATAATGCAAAATTTGTGTGCTTGATAYCAAAATAAGCCTATCACATTTCTTTATCAATAAATAACAAAAAAAAAAACAAATTCTTCTTATTTTTCTCTTTCACTATATACACTATGCTTTCGGCAGTAGTCAGGAAATGAGAGTTGATAGTGAATTATTGTGTAACTCTCGAACTCAGTTGGTGAGAGCAAGTGCGAATACAAATGTTTACAAAGTTATGCATACATTCTTATGTACAAGTATATATACATACCTAAGTCGAAAATTAACTTAAACAAAAACCACCGTTTATTTATAAATCCGAAAACTTGATGTTTCCAGAGCGGTCCGGTGCTCTGCGTCAACGTTTTGTAGATACATATGTACATATTTTCTTTTACAATTCACCGCAGTCAATTTTCAGTTTTCTCCCTACTGTTCTGGTGCAAAATATCAGCAGTAAAGCTGTAAACAGTATGGATTTTGTCACAAAGCCTATTATCTGTTGAACAGACTATTATTAGACATTTAAGATAAGTTTATCAAGGGGAATCTTCTCGTCTCTTAAGAAAGAAGCATTGGAAGATAGTGATTCAGCAATTGAATACKACAATAGGTAGGCTAAAAGTTTTGTGTTATTTTAATGTGAATCCAATGTTTAAGCAAAATCAATGTGGATGATACCCCGTTCAAAACGATCTTCCAACTTTTCGATACTTTTGTAATATTATACGATTGATCTTTTGCTTCCAAATAGGCCGCGGTTTCGCCAATTTTTTACCAGCGTCAACTCTCTACAGATCTGGGGATAAGAAGATTACTGAGGTGAAACCCCCTAAACCCATAGTCTAATTCACACAATTTGACCATATTGTTGATAGTGAGCTCACGGCGTCCATCTTGCAAAGAGCTTTTACAWATCAAAATTTTCTGGATATGTGCATGTGTGCAACACGTTCCTTTAATATTTTTGGAGTCTCAATCAAGCTCATTTTACCATTATTCGAAATGATTTATTGGATTTTTTAGTGTTTTCGTCCAATGCATCTTTTGGACTTGCACAGAGCTTATCAGCTTCGATACTCCTATAACATATTTGAATGGTTGCTCCGCGAAATTCGAATTTTTTACTATACTAGATCACAAGAACCAATTGTCGTACACGTGACTTCTGAAGGTTAGGTATAACTACATAATATTCAACATTTCTCAAAAAGATCATAACTGATGAATATGATAGMAGAGTATCGCTGAAAGAATTAAGGTCGTACAAAAAAAAACAGTACAGAAGAATATATGAAATTACGTCTTTTTTATCTCTAAGATTTTGGTTTTGAGATCACTCTTTTGATCTCATGTTCTATAAACGATAATATACCTTTATTTCAGATTTCAATTTAAAATTTTTCGAAATTTAATTTTAATATACTTTTTGATATAACAGTGTCATGAAGAAATAAGATCCTGCCGAATTCCTTTCGGTTCAATTCAAGTTTTGTGTTTGGAACTACTTATCCCATGCTTTATTTTAATTTTGGCTTCCCTAKTTCGATCATTTCTATCCAAACTTACCCTTACTTCTATTCCAACAACATCTTTAGAGTTAACTGGGTTCTTATGTCCTAATGTAGAAAAAAGTAATATTAGTATAAATAACTGTTTGTTTACTAGATCACAAATAAACAAAATACAGTCATTATAGACAAAATAATTTTAGCATTGGCTTTCAGAACTCGAATTAGTACACGATTACTTGTCAAGTGAGTTGGTCAGAATAAAAAATTAAGTCAAGTCAAGTTTTAATTAAAGAAAATTTTTAAAATGAACTGTCCTTGTGGAAGTGGTGAGTATATATCTGTATGAGTACATACAGTTCCTCAAACAATTGTTCAAATTTTTGCGGTGTGTTAATGTGTATAAGAGACAGGTTCCTCAAACAATTGTTCAAATTTTTGCGGTGTGTTAACTTATTCATGGATAAAAGCCAACGTTAAGCAAACGGTTAACGTTTAACGTTTCAAAAACTAGAAAGTATTTCATTCAAAAAGTGAAAGTGAAGAAAAACAAAGATAAAACCATTCGAACAATATTTTAAGTTTACCACCTCTTGCTTGGAGATCAGGCTACTGGGATTTTGACTAGGACATTTCGAGTTCTCCCGAAATGTGCTCTTTTGGAGATCAGGTGACTGCGAGGGCCAATCGAGAACTTTAATTTGTTTATCTAGGAACCAACATTTTGTAACTTGTGGCATGGGAGAGGGCTAACACATTTTAGGTTTAGTCTYATGAGACCAGACCACTCTCTTTCAATTCTCAATTCTGAAAATTTTGTGATATTTTGCGAAACTCAGCAGCAAATTTGTATGACGCTTTGTTAAAAGCACATGTAAGAACTCTTTAAGKAATTTTCGCGTAAGACGTGGTTTATGACAAACGTTGAGGTAATAATTTTTCCAAAGCTTCTTATTGATTTTTACCGTATTGCCTAATTATTTTTCGTGTCACTGACCGAAATAGAAGACAGAGACTAAAGCACTAATGGTGTGCAATCAGCTGGCTGGAAAATTCTGGGGGTGCAAGGATCGTTAGGCGGTTGTACACCATGATCGTGCGACCGATAATCACGTATGGGGCGATGGCCTGGGCTTCAGAAGCTTCGCAGACTTCGATAGGGCTCCAACTATCGAAGCTGCGACGACTCGCATGCATCTGCATGTCAGATGCAATGCGCASTWGTCCGATGGCAGCACTTAGAATAGTGCTGGARCTCTCTCGTGCTACTGCTTAGAGATAGTGCAATGAGGTGGTAMAATGACGGTTCCTAAACGTCGGCCCACGCACCAAACTTTCCATAGCTATGGGAAGTTTTCCGAGCATTTTTCAGACAGTTGTCTTTACCATAAGTCGGTGCATGGAGCTAGACCTCCAAATCAACAACAGCAACAGCGAAGATGTAACCATGCTTAAAAATAGTCAAGCGTCACTGAAAGCAATTTTCTCCTATGGGATCAAATCGCGACTAGTGTAGAAGTGTAGAGAACGGCTTAATAGCCTAGCGGAACGTAACCAAGTGCACTTCTTCTGGGGGCCCGGTCGCAAGGGTATAGTCGGGATCGAACTTTCTGATGAGCTCGCCCGGTCCGCATATTCCACTAACACGTACAACATTTTATTTATCAAATTATTATTTAAAAAGCTGTACACCGTCAATCACTAAATTGACGAACTGTACATACATACACATGTACATGTGTCGTACGTATTTTTGTCGATTGAAGAATAATAAAGACCTAAAAGTCTCAAGTAAATCTCAGACGTGTTGACATCAAAGTTCATAAAAAGTTTTTTTTTATCCATAACTTCCCGTTAGACAATAATCACAATTGTAAGAGGTCTATTGTTGTTCTAAAGTTTCCCATAAAAATCCATTATCCGTGCAATTTAATGGAAATAATCAATTAATTTACAGGTTGCAAATGTGCCACACAAACTCTAAGTGGACGTTGTGCTTGCGGACCGTCATGCAAATGTGCCACGAACAAAAAGTAATGTCCAACTGAAATAAAGCAGAAACAAAATAAGAATCATAGCAGACAGACAGTAGTATTATGCATCACATCAATTGTTTATTTACGTATATAGACGATATCAACTTATGTATGTCAATTTATCTTTACATAAACAAAAAGCGATGAAAATAAATTTCATTGACCTCTAAGGAAAAAAAATGAATGTTTAATTGAAGAAAACTCTTTCAATTGAATCTTAGGGAATGTAAATACATACATACATATCTCATTTATACATACTACGTATATATGTATGTATATGTTAGCATTATATATGCATGTATGTATTTATATGCCTCTATATTGTTGAAGTGCATTTTATATCTTCTTGCTCGTGGAATTTAAATGTTGCAAGTCTTGAGGCAGCGAACAGCGAAGAGTATTCGTTATCATAGGCAACTGATCGAGTTTGTGTAGTTGCTTGTAAGCTTATGTAGAATGTTATATTCGAACTTTTTTATGTAAATTATTCACGTATAGTAACGGGTGATCCAAGTCGAGGTACTTTTTTCAATAGCTATCATGTTATTTTTGTTCAGTATTGTTATCAATTTCATCATGGGAAGATTAAGTCTGAAGAACGTTTAGAAATCGTTCTACTTTATTACGAAAACTCACGATCTATAAGAACGCGATTCTCTATCACTAATTTTGAGACCCAGCATTCATTATTGAATATTATTAAACCGATTATACCATTCTCAACACGCTCAGCACGCAGTAAGGAAAATATAGCAGCCGTAGCTGGGAATGTACACGAAGACCGTGAAGATTCGATTTTGAGCCTTTCCCAGCAACTCGGACTGACATGTCCGACGAGGCGCATTTTAAGTCGAAATCTTAAATTGAAAGCGTAAAAAATACAGCTTGTGCAAGAACTGTAGTGGCTCAACCTTCTCAAGCGACATCGCTTCGCTCTACAGGTGCAAAGAGTTCCGACGATTCCGAGTAAGCTTTTGTTCAGCGGTGAGGCCCATTTCTGGCGCAATGGGTAAAATTCACGCATTCGGGGTGAAGAGCATTCTGAGTTCTACCATTTCATTCAGAAAAAAAACACGGTTTGGTATGGCCGCTGGAGTCACTGGAAATCCCACTTCAATTCAAGTAATGGATCAACACATCACGCGTGTTATTCGCCAATTACCAGTCCAATAGTTCGAACGAGTCATCGAAAAGTGGAATCAACGGATGGTCCGTCGCAGCCGCGGCCAACATTTGAAAGAGATGCAAACTCTAAAGGGACCACCCTTTATTATATGTATGTACTCTCGATTTTATATGTCTGTATATACCTGAATGATAGCGCAACACAAATCGTTGACATGATCTACGACATGTAGTACTATATTAAGCTCTATTGAAGAGAGAGTGCAAACCAAAAGTCAGCGGTCTCCAAACGTTTAATAAAAAAAATTTAAGATTTTTTAGATCACTGTGATCATAATTTCTCAGACTGTCTCTATAAATATATTCAAAGTTAAGATTCCAAACCAGCTTTATAACTTGCAGCAAAAAGATTTATATT